TCAGCAGTGGTCTGTGTGGGAAGAGGTGCTCATGATCCATGCCATGTCCAAAACACCACAGTGGACCGCTTCAACGATGGATTGGCAATGGTGTTATCGGCCAACAAAGAGTTTGCCTTCCGTCTGTACAGGGAATTATCAGGTCTCTCTGACACTCGAGGCAAAAACGTCTTCTTCTCACCCTTTTGTGTATCTGGGATCTTAGCCACTTTGTCTATTGGGGCCCGAGAAGAGACCCACCAACAGATTTTCAATGTCCTGGGGTTCAACAACTTCCAGCTGTCCCAAACTGATGTAGAGGAAGCCTTTTGTAGAATTGTTAAAAGTGAACAGGCACAAACCATCACTTCAGGTACTGCTGTGTTTGTAGACAACATGTTTGAGCCTCAGCCTGAGTTCCTGGATGTCTTGAAGCAGTTTTCCTTTGTTAAAGTCTTCAGTGTTGATTTCACCAAGGCCATAGACTCTGTCAATACCCTCAATAAGTACGTTTCAGATAAGACTAATGGAAGGATCAACAAACTGGTCGACAGCCTGAATTCAAGCACAGTCTTGTATCTCCTCAACTACATTTACTACAAAGGTTAAGAAATAATAATCTTTTTTTCTTTTCTTCTTCTTGTACTGGGTTACCACCAAGTTGTTTTTGCTCACTTTCAAACAGGAAAGTGGCCAATTGGGTTTGATCCTGCCCTGACCAAGCTGGATGAATTCAACGTGGATGAAAATAATAAGGTTTGAAATGGCAGTATGCTTAAGTTGTACTTTTTATTTTTTATATAAACTGTTGGTGCTTGTAATATGCGGTGCCTTTGCACTTTTCCAGGTTCCAGTCCAGATGATGAAAATAGAAAAGCACTTTTATACTTTTGATGAAGAAATCGGCACATTTGTCCTCCACCTTCCCTTCAGCAACTCCTTCTCCATGCTGCTGCTGATGCCTGATAATATGACTACTCTGGAGAACATTATCAGTCCCGCTCATGTTACTGAATGGCTGAATGTGACAGAGTCTAGGTAATTGCTTGGGCATTGCTCTTAAGGTTTGTTTTTAAACTTGCTCACTTGACGTCTACTTTTGTGTTATTTGTTTAGGGATTGTGGCATTTATATTCCCAAGTTTTCCATCAAGACTTCCTACACCCTGAATGATGTGCTGAAGGAAATGGGAATGACAGACATGTTTGATCATGCAAATCTGAATGGCATTTCTAAAAATGAACGTAACCTGACATCAGAGGTATGACAGAAAATGTACAGTTTCGAATTTCTCTTCTTCATTCTGTCCATATTTGAACTCTCTGTTGTATTAGGTTGTGCACCGAGCTGCTCTGGATGTTGACGAGGCAGGAGCCACAGCTGCTGCTGCTGCAGGAAGAGTCGCCTTTGATTCTGCTTGTCTGAAGCCAGCTTTGAAGTTTAATAGTCCTTTCATATTGATGATGATTATTGAACGACGTACCGAGTGCATACTTTTCATGGGCAAGATTTCCAACCCAAACCTGTGAATGGGTGGGGGGGGAAAAAAAACTGTCAAGCACAGTTGTAATAAACATTTAATGGAAAAGCGCTTGTCTGGTCTTTGCATACACAGAATGCAGGCATAGATGTAAACATGTATGTGTTGGCTGGCTTTTTTTTTTTTTTTTTGTCTTCATTGCATGAACTACAATACATGGCCTCTGAACCTGAGGTAATCTGTTTGGATTAAATGTAATCAAAACCCCACTTGATGGTGACCTTAAACTCACTCAGACTCGGGACGAGCCTGAGTCTGGAGGTCCACGCATATCGGATTAGATTTCTAGCGGATGCTTGCAGGGTAGTTTAATTTTGGCCCAAAAAAATCTGACCTGGCCACAGCCAGCCATCAAAATGTCCAAACCTGACCAAATTAACAGTAATTACAGGTCCAAACCCAGAAAACCTAACATTTTAACAGTCAGGGACGCACAGCTGAAAAAAAGCTACAGAAGATTCGGAGCTGAGAGGTGCTTGTCCTTTCATGCCCATAAAAAAATTAAAATTTAAACCCAATTTCGGCCTGCATTCGTCTAATTACTTACACATGCGTCTGCTTTGGGATCTCACCTGTTTGGGAGCTGCTATGTTGGCGGCGTCGGCCACATGCATCCGCTGTGTGCAGCAGCAGAATGTCCATTTGGGCAATGGATCGCTGTCTGGTAGTACAGTCTGAAGCTTAACTGAACTTTTTACCAATTAAGCTCGCGGTGAAATGGCCGCATGTGGCTGGATGTATGGCAGGCCATGCTATCATATAATTGGATTGCGGCTGATCCTGACCTAATTAAAAGCTCGAGACCGTCCTGGCCCACACACTAAACACATAATGGCCCTGCACTAATTTGGGTCAGTCCGGGCCAGGTTTCAGGATTGGGTTAGAAATGCCCGCTCTACCACAGGGCATGTCCATGCAAAGCTCAATTTTTATGACTGCGTACACGTACTTGGTGTTTCACAAACTGCCCAGCGACGGGCCTGTTTTGTAAGCGACTCCAATGTATTAAATTTCCCCTTCATCTGTGGTCTGGTTTAATGGCCTTTTTTTTTTTCTTTTTTTCCAAGAGGCTAAACAATCTCTTCCTCTTCGTCCATTAATGCCATGACTGAAATGGCTGCTGAAAATGAGGGGGCGCTAGACATGGAAGAATACACATCCTCAGTCTTGGGGTACATTAGCAAATGTGCTGATCTCAACACTATCAGATATGTTAATTACTCAAACAGGAAGCTTTGACTGAATGCAGAGGTTCGCACTCTGCTGGAAGCCGGGAACACTGCCTTTAGGTCTGGAAACTCACAGAAGCTGAGGACAAGGAAAGAACTGGTTGCTGGCATTAAAAGGGCCAAGGCTACATAAACACAGAGGATCCAGGGTCAATTCACTTCACAAGACTCATGGAGCATGTGGAGGGGCATTAAGTGTGTAACAGATTATAAAGGCAGAAGTGAACAATGCCCTAGAGACCCATCACTACCTGATGCCCTCAACAAGTTTTACCCACACTTTGAAGACCTGAATAAACCACCCAGCACCACACTCACCACCGGAAGACGTGCTTTTCAGTGTGACCTCAGCCGAAGTGAGGAGTACTTTGAAGAGGATTAATCCTCACAAAGCAACAAGCCCAGACAACATCCCTGGGAAGGTGCTGAAAAACTGTGCCAATCAGCTCTGCAAGGTGCTGGCCGACATCTTTAACTCCTTTAACTTTAACTCACCCTGTCAACAGTTCCAACCTGCCTGAAGACCACAACCATCATCCCAGTCCCAAAGAGCTCTACAGTGACTAGTCTGAATGACTACCGGCCAGTAGCCCTCAACTTGATAGTCGCTAAATGCTTCGAAAAACTGGTCATGACCCATATCAGAACAAGCATCAACATCAACGAGGACCCTCACCAGTACGCATACCATGAGAATCGATCAACAGAAGACACCATCTCCTCTCTGGTCCACACTGCGCTCAACCACCTGGAGCAGAAAGACTCTTTGTGGACTTCACATCCGCCTTCAACACTATGATCTCCCAAACCCTGATAGACAAACTATTCACACTAGGTATCCTGATGCATGCTCAATAATCCAGGTAGAAAAATCCAAAAAAGTTCAATCTGGTCCTCTGGACATTCAAAAAAATTCCTCAGACTGAGGAAGTCTCTCGGATGAGAGACAAAATGTTTCTATATTTTTTTGCTTTGTTTTGTTTTTTTGAATGTCCAGAGGACCAGATTGAACTTTATTGGATATTCACACTAGGATTAAGCCCCTCCATTTGCAACTGGGTACTAAACTTCTTAACAAACAGACTACAGTCTGTGAGGATCCACAACTTCTCATCCTCCACCATAACCTTCAGCACTGGCTCTCCTCAGGGCTTTGTGCTGAGCCCTCTCCTGCTCACTCTGCTCATGTATGACTGCTAGGGATGGGTCCGATCCGATCCAGTATCGGTATCGGCCTCAGATACCAGCATAATTTACGTATCGGATTTTTCCAATCCATCTGCCGATATTTCCGATCCGTGATGCATGTTGGCTTCAAACTATGAAATGGATTTCCTGAACAGCGGCGTGTCTCATGAACCCAGAGTAATAAGACCCGCCTCACATTCAGGAAATCCATTTCATAGTTTGCAGCCAGCTACAACGTGAGGACTGAGTTAGCAGCACTGTGGCTAACAGCTAACCAACTTTTCATCTAAACATGTCCGCTGTGTGGAAGTATTTTACACTAGAAACACCACAAAACAAGACAGCAACGTGCAATGTCTATAGAGCCATAGCACCACATTAAACCACGTTAAAGTTAGTTTTACGATGAACATTCAAGCTCTGTGGCTTCAGCTGGGCACTACTCTTTGGTCAAACTGAAAGAGGCGACTCGACACCGGCCAGCCGCGTCCAATCTGCCCCGCTCAGTCTGCCCGTCTCCGAGGAGGGACAGACTGAGCGCGGCTGCCCCAAATCAGGCTGCCTGCTCGGATTGAACAAGAAGTAGATGTCACTGAAACCACGGAGTTCAAATGTTTACAGAGAAGTTGCTAAACTTCATCATAATTAATGACCAACCACTATCAGTTGTAGAAAACGAAGGATTTTGCAGCTTGATACTTGCAGTCAAGATATAGACTAGAAGTCTATGTCTTTAGCCCTAGCTCAGCTGCTGCCTCTTATCCTGTGAACCTGGACTCCCTTCAGCCTTATCTGAAGCACTCTGTTAAAAACCTCGGAGTGGTTTTTGACTCGGATTTTAAGTTCGACAAACAGATCAGTTCGGTTCTGCAGAGAAACTTCTTCCAACTGCGGCAGGTAGCTAAGCTCAAGCCAGTGCTGTCTAGACTCAACCTTGAGACACTAGTCCATGCATTCATCACAACCCGCCTGGACTATTGTAATTCACTGTATGCTGGGGTCAGCCAGGCCTCTATCTCACGGCTACAGCTCGTCCAGAATGCTGCAGCTCGGCTTTTAACCGGTACACCGAGGTATGAGCACATCACACCAGTTCTGTCCTCCCTACACTGGCTTCCTGTGAGAACTAGGATTGATTTCAAAATTCTCCTCCTGACCTATAAGTGCCTAAATGGCCTCGCACCCATCTACCTCTCTGAGCTACTGGAACCATATGTTCCCTCTCGGGCTCTGAGATCATCCGATCAGCTGCTTTTGGTTGTTCCAAAAACACGACTGAAGCTCTGTGGAGATCGGGCGTTTTCAGTCATGGGTCCCAAACTGTGGAACAACCAACCTCCCAACATTAGGCATGCCACCTCCCTTCCTGTGTTCAAAGCCCTGCTAAAAACATATCTGTTCTCTCTGGCGTTTCATACTGTGTGAGTTGATTTAGTATATCTTGTTCCATGTCTTCATTTTAATGCTGTTGCTTTAATTTTTTAAGGTATATTCTTACTGCTTTTTATTTCTTAGTGTTACCCTTAGTGTTAAGCACTTTGATAACAGTCTATCTGTTTTAAATTGTGCTCTATAAATAAATATGACTTGACTTGACTTGACTTGATATAGTTTACCCTCCAGGAGATATTTATCAGTACAACAGTAGACAATCATAAAAAACATATGATTTGAAAATTATATATATTAAAAGCATAAACAGCTACATTATAAAGTGATGTAAAATACTAAAAACAGGAACATGTCTGTTGGTTTATGCCATGAACTTAGCAGATGTTTGAAGCCATTTAACATTTAATTTAATTTAATTAATTTATTCATTCATTTAAATGAAACAAAATAAAAAAAATAAAAATCATCAAAAAGAAAACAGTGAATGAAAAGAGTGCAGAAAGAAGAAAAAATTCTTATATCTGCCCCTTATAAAATATAAAACAACTTTAAACAATCACTTATATTAATGACTTTAATATCCACTTTAAAGCTAGGAATAAAAAGAAACATGTTTTGTATCCTGATGCATGCTCAATAATCCAGGTAGAAATGTACTGAGGTGGTGGTATGAAACATGTTTTGTGTTAGCAGAATTTAATTCTAACTTTAAAACTTGTCCAACATTAATAAAACTTACCTCAAGTTGCCTTTTTGGACATGCATGCATATATTTGTACAAATTGAACTTGAGAGGAGATTATTACAGCCTCATATAAAATCAATGGTGATCATGATATCGGAACTGGATCGGTATCGGCCGATACTCAGTTCCAGGTATCGGGATCGGATCGGAAAAAAAAGAAAAAGAAAAAAAAGTGGATCGGTGGATCCCTAATGACTGCACACCTACCATCCAGGCTGTCATACTGTAAAGTTTGCAGATGATACAGCAGTGGTGGGATGCATCACAAACAATGATGAGTCCAGCTACAGGCAAGAGGTGGAACACCTGGAGAGCTGGTGCAAAGAGAATAACCTTCACATAAATGTGAAGAAGATAAAGGAGATGATTGTGGACTTCAGAAGGAACAAATACACCTATACCCCACTGAACATAAGAGGATCTGCGGTGGAAGTGGTCTCCAGCTAC